CCCCTTCACCTTACCCTAAACCCCTCCCTCCCCTCCTTTCTCCCCAACGTCGCCTCTCCCCTGACCACACACCCCCAATAAAACCCCCAACCCCCTCGCTACTAACCCGCGGCCTAATCCCCCCTCCTCCCCCTCCTCTCCTTCCTCTTCCTTCCTCCTCCTACCCCTCTTCCTCTTCCCCCTCCCCCACGCACACCACGCGCCCTTGCCTCCCTCCAACCCCCCACCCACGCCCACCACGCGCCCTTCCAACCCCCCCACGCCCACCACGCGCCCTTCCAACCCCCCCACGCCCACCTCGCCTTGACGAAATTCCGAGCGAGCGAAATGTTCAGTGTGCGTGTGTGTGCCGCGCCGTGTGTACGTGTAGAGGAGCTAGTGACAGTGGTTTTGACATTGGACACACAACATGGCATCTAAGCGTGAGTTTATTTTGTGTTTTTGTTATCTAAGAAGAAGGGTGGGGGGAGGTGGAGGGGTATAGGGGGAGGGAGTGTTTTGCCGAAGGGTGGGGGGAGGGTGGGTGAGAATAGATGGGGGGGAAGGGGCGAGCATGTTTTTTAAAATCGGGTCGTTAAATGTCGCATTGGCAACTGTCTCTCAGATCATACGCTGTTGAACCGAAATTTCGTAAATGCCTTGAAAATGGAAAGAAAAAAGAAAATGATTCGAATATACTATGGTTATGTATTGATCTTTTCTTTTTTTTCCATATTTCTAAAAAAAAAAGAAAAAAAAAAAAAAACGTCCTTAACACAGGCTGAAAAATAAAAATGTACTATAAAGCGACCCCTGGCATCAACGCATGACTCAATGCCCTCCCCCCCTTCCCCCCCTTCCCCCCCCTCTCTCCCTTCTCGTCATGCAATCAGGTCGAGGCGGAAGCGAAGGAGCGAGAAAGGTCATGCAAACCCATTGATTTGTATATAAGGTGAAAGAGACACGTATAAAACAGACGACCTTGAAGGAGGAGGGGGAGGGGGGAAATTTGGACCTATTTTTTCTAACTTTTTTCCATGATAAGTAACAAAACAAAAAAAAAATCCCGTCGCTGAAAGGAGAAGATGTTTCTAAGAGTCATGAATGCGCCGATCTGTTTTTGGCGAAGGAGATAGACAAAGGGAACTAACATGAGGCTTTGGGGCGGGGCACTATTCTCAAGTGACGGGCGTATTGACGTAGTGAAAGCTGTTCTTTTTTTACGTAAATGTGACGGTCTCACGTCACACTTCTGGGCTGAAGTGTGAGCTCTGTTGTCCGTTGATCCGCCGGGAACTGGTGGCGAAAACATTCACTTGAAAACAAAGAAATGCCGCTTCTGAAAATAAAACATTCACTGTCTGAATGCGCCTCGTTTTCTTTGGAGGCCTGAAGGGTCATCAAAGAAAATAGGGGTGTTTATGGGGGACTTTAATTATTTAGAGATGCGTGCGCTCGTGCACGTATACACATAGATACACTCTCTCTCTCTCTCTCACACACACACACACACACACACACACACACACACACACACACACATATATATATATATTATATATATATACATATATATATATATATATATATATATATATATATATATATATATATATATATATATATATTATATATACATACATATATATATATATATATATATATATATATATATATATATATGTGTGTGTGTGTGTGTGTGTGTGTGTGTGTGTGTGTGTGTGTGTGTGTGTGTGTGTGTGTGTATGTGTATGTGTGTGTGTATATATATATATATATATATATATATATATATAGAGAGAGAGAGAGAGAGAGAGAGAGAGAGAGAGAGAGAGAGAGAGAGAGAGAGAGAGAGAGAGAGACAAGAGAGAGAGAGAGACAAACACACACACGCGTGTGTGTATATATATATATATATATATATATATATATATATATATATATATATATATGTATGTATGTATGTATATATGTATACATATATGTATACATATATATATACATATATATATATGCATACACTCATACATACACACACGCGCGTGCGCGCGCGCATATATATATATATATATATATATATATATATATATATATATATATATATAGATATATAGATATATATATATATATATATATATATATATATATATACACACACGCATATATATGTACATACGTACATACATACACACACATTCATATATATGTGTGTGTGTGTGTGTACACACACACGCACACATAACCGTGGACACATAAATAGAAGATAAGCGAACAGATAGACATACATAGATACACATACATGTATGCGTGCAGACACATACATACATACATACATGTATACCTCCATGCATGCATATATACATAGATATATATACATAAAGACAAATAGATGTTGGCAATAGATATAATTCAAGGCCTCGGAGTGGTTGGGAAAGAGCAGTATTGTGTTCGTGGTCATCTTAGATTAGACGGATCCGTGTTCTTTCAGTTTAGAGCAATTAAACGCTTATCTTTATGACGCAAATGCTTCTTTCATTAACATCCGTTCATTTTGTTTCTTTTTTTTTTACGGGCAACAAATCCTTAGGTTTTACTCATAAATAGACTGAGTTAGGTGCCCACTCGCTATTTTTTTTTTTTTTTTCGTTTTTTCAAACTACCAAAATACCATCTAATTATAGATTTATTGATATAAAAAGTACAATTAATATGATGTACTTATTCAGACAAGCAAGCGATTTTTATCCACCGAGTGTAACTTGAACATGAATTATTTCTTCCAAAAATCATTAGAAGAGTTTTTGCCTCGAAGAAATGAAAATTATTTATTTTGAACCGAGAAGAGGAAGGGGAATAGAGTATTAGTAACTTTGGCATGTGTGTTCAGTTGACCGTGACTGACCTTATCACTGTCATAAGCCATGCAGAGATATTTCCTGTTCATTCTTATTATACTAATATATTCCGTGGCCGCTGTCGATACCCTTTCTTTATAAATCATTATAAAAAAAATAATGCACTTTTTTGTTAGTATACCACTTAGACTACTTTCGGAAGCTGTGATATCATTAGCAGATTTAAAGGCAGATGGTGAGTTGTGTCGTTTAAGAATATCTATTGTTGCAAGTTACTGCTAATCAAATCCACAAATGTAAAAAAAAAAATGAGTGACAATGAATATTTTCATAGTGCAGGAAGTGCAAGCCTATTTGACCGGATTCGATTATATCTTCGTCAGAAACACATAAATGACTAAAACCGGTCAGATACATCTCTTGCACTGTGAAGATATTCATTCTCTTTCATACCTTTTCATACAGTTATCACACTGAATACTTGTTTAAACCTATGAAGGAGATTTTGGAACAGCAACATAAGTCTAAAATGTAGAGTACAGGCTTCACGAACAGAGCTGAAGAAAATTATCAGAAAATTAGTACCAAATATTTGAAGGCCCAAATAGAATATTCTATGCTGCCGATGTATATTCAATACGAATAATACTTCGTCCATGACAGTGAAGCAGTATCATGAAGTGTTTCAGAAAGTTGCACTGACTTTTTTTTTGAGGGGGGCGGCTAATGGAGCAAAGTCCAGATTGATTGCGTGAGAGGAAGGACTAGTGTAATCAAGAAGTAATTAAAGGTGATTAAGGAAGATAACTATCTTGATGCAACAGGTTTTCAAAGAAATAAATGATAATGTGAAATTAAATCTTTCTTTCTCAATAAAATTTGTATAATGATTTCTTTCTCAGAGTTAGTGTACATAAAGAGACTGTTGATTGATTAGCAGCATATATAGTCATTTTTCAGTAAATGCACTCATGAATAGTATTGGTGTGTGTGAGTGGGGAGAAATGTTCTATGGTCAGAATGGTTAGATAGAAGACACAAACGAGAGGAAAAGACAGAAACACAGAAGGAAACAGACATAAACACAACCATATATACAGAGTGAAAGAGAGAGAGGCAGAGAAAGAAGAGAGGAGAAAGAGGGAGAGAATGTGTGAGAGAGAGAGGGGGACAAACAGAGGTAGACAGAGAAAGAGAAGTGAGGAGTGAGGTAAGAAGTCAATAAAGGTATGAATCCGTCTTGTAAAGACTGGTCTACCTGACTTAGCACGATTGGTAATCAATCAACATGTTCCTGGTTGACTGACCTGTAGTAGCGGAGTTATCGAAGAGAGAGAGAGAGAAGGAAAGAGAGTGTTTGTGTATTTGTATATCTCTATGTGCATATATGTCCATGAATGTGTGTGTGAGAGAGAAAGAGAGTGTTTGTGTATTTGTACTTCTGTATGTGCATGTATGTCCATGTATGTATGTATGTATACATGTATGTATGTATCCATGCATATGTGTACCATCTTTCTATAAATAGGCATCAATTACCCCCCCCCCCCCCCGGCTCCCCAACAGAAAAAAAGAAAGAGAGTGTTTGTGGTTATCTGTGCATCTGCATGTCCATATATATCCATATATGTACGTACACGCGTATGTGTACCATCTTTCTACAAACATACATCACCATAACTCTTCTCCCCCCCCCCAACAGAGGGCTACCAGCCAGCCCCCACGAGCGTTGTTCCCGCCGCTGGAGCAGGTGAAGCGCCGCGCAGACCTGGCCTAGTGAGAAGAGGCATCCAGGTGAGTCACGTCGAAAACCGTTCTGGCAATTCGAGCTTTTTTTCATTCTTTTTTTAGGTGTTATTCTGATGTTATTGTTATTATTATTATATTTTTTATTGCTATTATTACTATTATATTTTTATCAGTGCAATGGCTGATGTTATTATTACTAGTGATTTCATTTACTGAATTGGTTGTTATTATTAATGTTAATATTTCACGTTATGTTTTCTTGCTATGATCATTATAGTGTTATAGTAGTACATTTTATCGCTATCATCCTTACTATCACAATCATCACCACAGGTCAGTTACTAATTACCATCACCACCACAGCCATTGCTATCCAGTCCTCAGCCATCACCAGTCATCACCACCACCACCATTATTACCATCATAATCTTCAATCTTCCCCAGTCATCCCAGCTCTTCCCCAGACATTACAAGTCATCACCAACCATCCCCAGTCATTACCAATCTTCTTCATTCATCACCATTCATCCCCAGTCATCACCAATCTTTCCGAGACATCACAAGTCATCACCAATCATCCTCAGTCATCACCAATCTTCCTTAGTCATCACCAATCAGTCCCAGTCACCACGAGTCTCAGTCATCACCAATCTTCCTTAGTCATCACCAATCATCCTCAGTCATCACCAATCTTCCTTAGTCATCACCAATCATCCTCAGTCATCACCAATCATCCTCAGTCATCACCAATCTTCCTTAGTCATCACCAATCATCCTCAGTCATCACCAATCTTTCCGAGACATCACAAGTCATCACCAATCATCCTCAGTCATCACCAATCTTTCCGAGACATCACAAGTCATCACCAATCATCCTCAGTCATCACCAATCTTCCTTAGTCATCACCAATCATCCTCAGTCATCACCAATCTTTCCGAGACATCACAAGTCATCACCAACCATCCCCAGTCATTACCAATCTTCTTCATTCATCACCATTCATCCCCAGTCATCACCAATCTTCCTTAGTCATCACCAATCATCCTCAGTCATCACCAATCTTCCTTAGTCATCACCAATCATCCTCAGTCATCACCAATCTTCCTTAGTCATCACCAATCATCCTCAGTCATCACCAATCATCCTCAGTCATCACCAATCTTCCTTAGTCATCACCAATCAGTCCCAGTCATCACGAGTCTTCCCCAGTCATCTCCAATCAACCCCAGTCATCATGAATCTCCTCCAGTCATCACAGATATTCCCCAGTCATCACGAATCATCTCCATTCATCGCCAGTCATCCCTAATCATCACGAATATTCCCCAGTCATCAGTCATCCCTAGTCATCCCCCTTCCCTCTGTCTCCCACGCAGTTCGGCAGCATAGTCCTCGGCATCCCCTGCGTCGCCTGCCTCGCTGTCTTCGGCGCCGTGTGTCTCCTCCTCCCCGGGGTCATCTGGCTCTCAATCCTAGACGAAGATGATGACGATGCTGAGGACGTGGTGCCTGGCATCGTCTTGGTGGCACTAGGAGGTCGGTTGGGTCGTTAGGAGAGGGTGGGTGGTTGGGTCGTTAGGTTAGGACGGGTGGTTGGGTCGTTAGGAGAGGATGGACGGTTGGGTCGTTAGGAGAGGACGGGTGGTTGGGTCGTTAGGAGAGAGGACGGGTGGTTGGGTCGTTAGGAGAGGATAGGTGGTTGGGTCGTTAGGAGAAGATAGGTGGTTGGGTCATGGGTGGTTGGGTCGTTAGGAGAGGATGGGCGGTTGGGTCGTTAGGAGAGGACGGGTGGTTGGGTTGTCAAGGGGAAGGTGAACGGGCTGTTCGGTTGTTCGGGAGTTTGCTGTTATGGGTCATCCGGTTTTCTTTTTTTCTCTCTTCTTCATTTTCATGGGCGTTCAAAACTTTATGTTAGGGGGAAGAAGGGGGAGGGGGTTAATCTCTGGCGTACACTTTTTCTTTTTTTTTATAATAATAATTGAAAATAATAACGAATTGGAACAATTTAAAGATTATAAATTGATTTATTTTTGTCTCAGTATTGCTCTTACAAAATTCAAGACTGTGATGTAAGCGACAAATCAGATTTTTTTTTTATTTCCGATACAAAGATGTTTGAACATTTATATTTTAGAATTAAATTTATTCCCATGATGAAAGTCTTGCTGACAAAGACAGGACATCCTTTATTGATTTTAATTCATTGCAAGGTGTCCTATAATGAGTGCTTGCAAGAATCTGTTTGCATCATTGCATTCCTTTAGTCCCTGGGGCTTCTGTTGCAAAAGTTATCAATTTTTTTTAAGAACACGTTTTGTACACTTATGAAAATGGATGACTCCTAGTGTTATCAGTTATATGGAGTGTAAAGGATACCACAAAAGTCACTTATCGCAACTAACTTTATTTTTTTCCTCTTTTTTCCCCCTTCAGCATTCTTCCTAATCATGTCGGGAGTGCTGTGCTGCGTCATCAAGAGAAAATACAGAGAATTCCACGACCAGAATTTCGGAACCCCGGGTCGCGTTATAGCCACCCCGGGCCAGCAACCCCCCCAGCCACTGCCCCCACATCCTGCGGCCATGCAACCCCCTCCTGCGGCCATGCAACCTGCCCCTTCAGCCCCCTATCCTACGGCACCCGGCGAAGGGATGGTAGTGCCAGATCCTACTGTACCAGAGGGCCAGATGTACCCCCATGTGCCTGTGGATTACAACGCTGGAGCTCTGCCGCCGAAGGGGGGGCTTCCTCCTGATCAACCCCCTCCTTATTCTCCTTAAGGAATTTATCTTCGTCTCTCTTCCTCTCTCCTTCCTTCCTTAATCTCTAAACCTCCTTTCTTGGTAAGCGTTCAGCTCCCTCTTCCCTCTCTCTTCTCCTCTGCCTTCTCCTTAAGGAATTTTTCTTCATCTCTCTTCCTCTCTCCTTCCTTCCTTATTCTCTAACGGGGGGGGGGGGGGTTCTTGGTGAGAGTTTAGCTCCCTCTTCCCTCTCTCCTCTCCCCCTCTTTCTCTTCTGCTCTTCCCCCCTTCTTTCTTATCTCCTCTTCTCCTTCCATTTCCTTCGTTCTTTCCATATGTCTCCTTGCCTTATAATCTCCCATTTATGACTTTTATTTTTTTTTCTTTGTCTCCCTCCTTATAATGTATTTTTTGTATTCAGTTTAGGTGCTTGTGATTGTATTCTATATCTATACTTTCTGAATCTGTTTAAGAAACTGTCTTTTGTTTCTCGAGTGGTACTTAGTAGGTTTATATATTTTCTCTTCGTTCCACTTATTGCAGATTCTTTTCAGAAATATGTGGATCCTTTTACTGAAAGGATTATGTTATTTTTATTTTGAATATTTCCCACATATCATTAGGGTTGTTAATATTATTATTAATATTATCATTATTATTATTATTATTTTATTATTATCATTGTCATTACTGTTATCATTATTAATTCAGTGATATCAGATTTATTTTTATATTTTTTTAGAAAAAAGAGAAGGAAATTAATCATCAATGACGTAATAACATCAGTGTCTAATGTTACTCATGAGTCATAAACGATGGTGACGTCATATATTTCTAGATATAATCTATTTTTATATCATTAACCTGATGTGAATAGATATATTATCTTCATCTATATACTTATAACACAAAAAGATGATACAAGGCAGAAAGATAGTTTTTAATCTTGTCTGCTGACATTTGTTATTTGTATTATTAAATGTTTTAACTCGCAGACAACAAAGTGACGTCATACAAGAAGTATTGGAGCGCCATCTACGTTATGACGTCATAGGTTATGATGAGGTCCCAATTAGTATTATTGCACTAATTCTTCCCTCGTCGCATTCCCTTCTTGAGAGTATCATAGATTCTCATTGTTCTTATCAAATGATATTTTACACTAGCTATTTACCAGGCGCAACACGTAGATTTTTTATTTTTATTTTAGTTTTATGGCTTCTCGAAAGGTGCTATGGAAGACTTAAATGTACCTTAAATGTTTGGCGGTTCCAAGGTCAAACGGTTCGTAGATTAAGCTTACTGTAGAGACGAAATTAGAGTCAATTTCTCTTGTCTCTTATCTCTAGTGAAATTTGTTAGCCATGTTTTAAGAGATGTTTCTCTTAATTTGTTTTGTACTGATTTATACAGTATATTAAATACACTTCGCTATATTTGATCTTTATTTTTTGCATTCCTATTGGTTTTAAGTTATGAATTCACAATGTATGAATGCACACACACATACACATATGTAAGTGTGTGCGTACACATGTGCATGTGTGTATGTGTGTATTCAGTATTCATATTGAAATATGCATACGAAAAAATAGTATTCAGTCGAAAAGGGTACAATATAAATACTGAACAGACTCGAAGGAAAATGGAAGACATTTCTTTAGGTTCTTGCTTTATTCACAATACCTAAATTTGATAATTATAGTTATATATGCGTGGTATATAAATATATACATAAACAATTGTACATTCATTTGCATATACATATAAAGTCTTGAAGATATATAGATCTAGAAAGCTTCTCATTCCCTGAAAATCCACATCGGTTAATTACTGGCCCGTAAGTGAGGTCAACAAAGAACAGATTACTCAACATAGGCCTATTCAACATCGACTTTGCAATGCTTTCGACAGATTTCCGAGTCGGCCTTGATGAATGTATAATCCCCATCCCAGTAATCATAAAGTCGATATCCTTTCTCCTTCATAAACCTCACTAGGTATGGGTCCTTCCCCGCTGCTGGGTCATGCTGGGTCACGTAAACGATCTTCTTGGGGGGAACGTCCTTCTCTCCATCCACCGTTTTATCAATTCTTTCTTTCCCTCCTTCGTTTCCTCCCAAAGATCCGGAAGGACGAAGGCGAGGTGGAATAGGTGGAGCGCGGATGCCCCAAGGTTCCTCATAGTGGATTTTGAAGCCCTCATTCGCGTCTCGGTGTTCGATATTCCACACTGTGACATCCACTCTATCCCAAGGCAGGTGGAGGAGGATCTCGGCCTCGGCTCCTTCGACGTCGAGGCTGACGTATCCGACGGAGGTGGCGTTGAGGGCGAGGAGGTACGAGAAGAGAGGGAAACACTGGACCTCCACAGGGATTTTTGACCCCATTTGACCCAAGGCTGGAGAGCGGATGCCGGCGAGGTTACCTGTTGACCTCACCTGTTGGGGGAGAGATGGAGGGGGGGGGGGGAAGAAGTGATGAGAGTGATTCTGTTTTTTGTTGTTGTTTGTTTGTTTTAAGGTAGAATTAATATTCTTATGTACGTATCTTTGTAATTAATCTATGCGTTGTATTCTATTGATTTATTCATTTTTTCCTATTTCCGTACCTCCGTAATTTTTTTTTTTGGTTTATTATTTATTTGCGCATACTTTGTAATTAGAATGGTAAATTGTAAAGAAAGTGGTAAAAATAAACTAGAAACATATATAGGGCAAAATAACAGAATTAAAGGAACACGACAAAAACAAAAGGAGAAAAAAAAGCGAAAAGCAAGAACAAACAGAAAAAGACTAAAACCCAATGAATATAAATAGAAAGGAGACAGCGAAAGAGAGAAAAGAGGAGTGAAAGAACGTAAAGTAAAATAATAGAAAATAAAGAACAGAAAATGAGGGCAAAAAGTAAGAAAAAAAGCTAAGAGAGGACAATATAAAAAATAACACCAACAAAACAGAAAAAATAAATAAAAAAAACACCCTTACCAGCAAGGCAGCTGCCACATCACGATCATCTCGCGGTTCATACGTCTCGAAGGTCAGTCTCTCGGCGACGTCGGAAGGGGAGAGACACGTCTGTGAGCTCCAGGCCTTACGGTTCTTGCCTGGACGAAGATGGGGGAGAAAAGGGGAAAAAAAGTTTTATAGGGTGATTTCTTGGCATGTGGGAAGGTTTGTGGGGTTTGTGAGGTGTGGGGTGGGTATTTCTTGGGTCTGTGGGAGGGAGCTGAATGATGGTTCTCAGGTTTGTGGGTAATTTTCTGGCCTGTGGGGGAAATTTGTGGGTAACTTTCCGGTTTGTGGGTAATTTTCTGGTCTGTGGGGAGGTTTGTGGGTAATTTTCTGGCCTGTGGGGAGGTTTATGGGAAATTTTCTGGTCTGCGGGAGAGAGTTGAGAGATTTTTTTCTGTGTGGAGTTTTATTGGGAGTAATTCTCAGGTCTGTGGGATCAAGTTGAGGGTATTTCTCGGTCTGTGGGTAATTTTTCCTGGTCTGTGAGGGAGAATTGATTTATCTTTCTGGTTTGTGAAGGAAAGGGAATTTTCGGCCTGCAGGGGAAATACTGAGGGATTTATCGGTCTTTCAGGGTGATTTTCTGGTGTGTGTGGGCGAATTTAGGGGGATTTTTCTAGTTTGTAGGGGAAAAGTTGATGGATTTCTTGGTCTGTAGAGGAAAGGCGTGGGTATTACTCGGTCTGTAGAGAGAGTTGAGGGGATATTTTCTGGTCTGAGGGGGAGAGTGTAGGGTATTTCTCGGGTCTGTGGGGGAGAGCCGGGAGGTGATTCTTGAGAGTTTGGAGTTTAGAGGGAGTTTTGTGGGCGTTTCTCGAGTGTGGGAGAGGTCTGTGGGTATTTTTCAAGTACGGGGGAGGGTTTGTGGGTATTTCTGCGGTCTGTAGGGGAGATTCTAGGGTATTTTTCAGGTCTGTTTGGGAGAATATAGGGATTTTTTTCTTTTCTCTAGGGAGTTTAGGGGAAAATGAATCTGTTTTCTAGGGGGATTTTGAGGTATTTATCAGTTCAGTGGTGGAAATTTAAGGCGATTTTGCTTGTGGAGTCTTGTGGGTATTTATTGTGGGCATTTCTATGAATTGTGGGGAGACAGTGGACATTTCTCTATGATGTGGGGATATTACTCTTATAAGTAGGTCTGTGGTTATTTCACTATTCTGTTGAGAGATGTAGGGGAATTTCTCTATTCTGGGAGAGGTCTGGGGAGGGGGGGCATTTTCCCTGCACTGTGGAAAGGCTTTAGGGCATTTCTTAAGGGGCATTCGAGGACATTTTTCACGTGTTTATCATTTATTCAGTTTATGGCCTGAATATCTATATTTTTCACATTCTAAATCTCTATCTATCTATATATTATCTATCTATCTATCTATCTATATATATATATATATATATATATACATATATATTATACACACACACATACACACATACACCACACACACACACACACACACACACACACACACACACACACACACACACACACACACACACACACACATATATATATTATACGCACACACACACATATATACACTTATATATATATGTGTGTGTGTGTGTGTGTGTGTGTGTGTGTGTGTGTGTGTGTGTGTGTGTGTGTGTGTGTGTGAGTGAGTGAGTGAGTGAGAGTGAATGTGTATGTGTGTGTATGTGTGCGTTTGTTTGTGTGTGTGTGTGAGTGAGTGAGTGAGTGAGTGAGTGAGAGTGAAAGTGTGAGTGTGAGTGTAAGTGTAAGTGTAAGCGTGAGTGTGAGTGTGTGTGTGTGTGTGTGCGTGTGTGTGTGTGTATACATACATACATACACACACATAAACGCTCGCGCGCGCGCGCACTGACACATATGTTTGTGTGTGTATATATATATGTGTGTATATATACATACACATATATACATACATGCATATATGTATATATGTATGTATATATATATATATATATATATATATATATATATATATAACCCTGTTTCATTTAGTCCATACTTAGCAATATCTACCTCATCTTGACTCTGAAACATTAACTAAAGCTTTGAAGGCACGTCAGTGAATTATTCAATACTGTAATGGCGCACTTTGAAATATCAAACTTCTCAGAACCGCGTGACTTGCCGATTGAACATGCCATCGACGAATACGAAACGGGTTCTGAGGAAGAC